GGGGGCGGGGGGGCGTGTGGAGGTGTGGGCGTCTTGGCTGATGCAGGCAGGAAAGGACTGAAGTTGTTCAGGGAGGGGGTGCCGGACGGCAGAGCACAGAGTGGGGCTGTGTTCCTGGATGATTTACATGCAGGGGCTCAGCCGCTGCTCACGGTTGCTTGCCGGAGATCCGGGATGCATGCGTGGGGCTCCTTTGGTGCATTGGGGCGGTGGTCTGGGAGGAAGGAACTCTCGGAGGACAGAGAGGAGCCTTTCAAAGGCTCACCCACCTCCTGATCTAGCAGTGGGCGTGTGAGTCTCCATGCCCATCCGCTCTTAATTAATTACCCTTAATGGACCTATTGACTGAATTGATAGTCAGATTATTTTTTTTTAATTAGTGTTAAACCAATTGTATTGCTGATTCGTTTGAATTTGTGTGCTAACACATAAATTCCATAAACGTAGGCCTATATACAGTACATTCTACACTGTGGTTATTGACGTGCCTGTGTTATTAAATGCTAATTTGGTGCTAATGCTTCTTGGTTTGTTTAGCTGTCAGTAAGAATTAGATTGTGGAAAATATTTTATTAGGACAAATACAGCTGAGGCAGTTTCTCATTTATTATTGTCATTTCTGTGTAAGTTTTCAATCAACACAAACTTGCCTGTGTAATATCCATAAACAGTGATTCCTTGTCTTCAGTAATATGTTTAGTTTAGCCAAAATTGGCTAAATCTACTCAGCGCGCAGCTAATCGGGGCTAATTAATCATAAACGCAGGAAAAACAAAGGCGTGCATGCCCTGTCCCCGAGGTGTCAGCCCGCGGCTGCTCGCTCCATTCCTGACTCCCTTGTAACCTTTCTGATTTCTTTTTCTGGTGGTATTCATCGTACAAGATTCTCTTAGACTTCATGGCACTGTTTCATTCAGTTGCCATTAGTTTCACAGTTTTACAGTGACATCAACAACTTCTACACGTACTTGAGCAATGAATTCTGGTGCATTCCTACGTTGACCTGTCTAGGTGGGAAGACCCATCTGTTCACTGACACTTTCAAGCGTTGGCTTACTGCAGGGAAAAATGTTTTTTAAAACCAAAATTCAAGTGTTTTTGATGTAATTCATCACCTGGACTGTTTTTGGACCAAGGACAATAATATAATTATGCAGTAATGACATAATTACTAATTTTCTGATATGGCTGAGCTGCTCTGTCAGTCAGCGTATCGGACATTGGCCACGACACAAGCCATACAAATCAAATTACTGTGCTTGAAGAGCCCTTTCTTTGTTCCAATTCTTTGTGCATCGTTGTTTGTTCAGATCTCAGTTGCATAAAGACCACGGTCTATCCCTGGTTCCTTTCCAGAACCTTTGAACATGACACCAAAAGTCAGGTCATTAAAAATTCTACGGCCAACCTCCAGTCATTCTGTTGGGGCTCCATCTGTGCTGGAGGTGAGGAAACTGCACACAGTGTCCTCAGTGCAAATGAGGACCCCCCCCCACACACACACACACACACACACACACACACACCCATATCCATCCCTACCGTCACAATCTGCTAAGAAATGGCATCAGTTCCTTCTGGGTTTTGTGGGGCGTGGTCAGCGGTTGCTCAGTAGTGAAAACACGTTATTCAAAAACCACTGAGGATCCTTCTTGGAAGGATCTGGAAGCCCAGTAGCATGGATGTGATACTCATCAACACTGTAAACCATTTGGGTTTTTGGACCTCTTTTGCGTTAAAAGGGAGCTGCCAGTTATTTCACTAAACAAGGAATAAATTTTTATGGAAACACAAGTATGACAGCATGTCTGTGGAAAATACTTCTCTTGTGCGGAAGCCTCATGGGATCATGGCTTCCCTATTGTGATGTTGTGGCCAGGCACGCTGGAGGCAACGCAAATCAAAGTAGCTCCCCAGCTTCAGAACGGCGTTTGTACCGAGGCGTGCGGTTGGTAATATAATGATGCCCCCACGGGCTGGGGACAGGGCTCTCTAGGGCCAGCACAAGGGGCCTGTGTGTTACTGAACAAAAATGTGGAAAGAAAAAAAAAAAAGCTCTCTCTGCAGTCAGAATTAATAAACATAACATTTACAAGATGGATAGACTAATGCTACCAGTTCTGTTACGTTAACTATTGTTTTATCTTAATAAATACAGTCAGTGTCTTGTCAAATATGTAATAAATGACAGTAATAACAGTATTTTAGCCATCGTCAGTGTGTCAGCGACAGATGTGCTCCTGCTGAGGTGGAGGTAGATGGTAGATCCATGCCTGCATCACCGCTTCAGGTGGCCACACGTTGGGCATGGCCTTTTCATCCTGGGCTGACCTGGTGCGGGAAACAATAAGTCGGTATGTGAAGGATGGCAAAGACAGAAGGCGCCAATTCAGTTGAACTACTGTGGGATTTACAATAAATCTGGAATTTCTAAAAGCAAGCCAGCACTAGAACAACTATCTCACTGCTTCTGGAGTCCAACGCAGAGGACTTGATTCAGCCATTTTCTGGTGCCCTCTGCTGGAACAAACCTGAACTGTGACCCAATACATTTCAGAAGCAGCAGAGGAATAATAGAAATAAGAATGTAAATAGAATGTTAATAGAAATGTAAAGTCATAAGAGTCATATAAACTCCCTCGTATTTATGATCAGTTCTCTTGGAAAAGGGTCACAGGGGCACGTGAGACGCTGAATTTCAGTTCAGACAGTGATCTGCAGTGGCTACACAGCATGCTAACAGTGAGCACTGTCACCATCATCCTGCTCTCATCAGATCCCCAAGGCTACAGCTGGGACACAGAGCCCTCTAATGGGTGGGGCAGGTTGTCACGATAATCGCAGAGGCAACTTTCATTTATTCTGAAAGCAGACACCACAAAATATTATCAGTGCATTGATTCGCCACTGTAATGTTGTCGAAGATCAAGAAGAGCGAAGCAGCCGCCATACTCCAGTTCCATGGATCCATTCTTCTCCGAGCCCACATTCCATCTCCCTTTTTATCAGCTTGGTAGACTGGCAGCTGGCACTTCTCAAATTAACCATAACAGTCCCGCACATTCATTCGAGATGAGAGCACTTGGGGATATTTTGAGGCATGAGGAACCTCAGCTGGAGAGCAGCAACAGGCTGCACGTCAGATAAAACACAGCCACTCCAAACACCACATCTGCAAACATTAGATGCTTTCACTTGTGGTTTAATTCCAGAGGTTTTTGAATCCGTGACAACAGTAAGAGTGCTGGCAGCTACAGCAGCTCTGTCGGTTTATATAAGTATTCCTGATTTTTTTTTGTGGGGTTAAGAGGGAGGGGTCTGTTAGCAGAAGAAATTAGGCCACAGAATTTAAGCTGCTTTAAAATACAAACAAACAAAATTACAGAGAGATTAATATCGAAGATCATCATCGTATGTATCGTACAGGAAGCATAAACATCTAAAAGGTTAGTATTATTAATGGCTTGCATAGTCCCTGCAGAAATAATCATTAATTAAATTATCCCTTCTTATAAATATGCATGTCTGATTTATAAAAGGTGTCAAGGTACGTTTGGGATCTCTGACTCACATCTGCCATGTGGTTTTGCTAAAATCCTAAACTGTTAACGAAAGACCCTTCCACAGGGCCTCCTAATATAGACAAACCTGGTACCCCGTTCACAGAAGGGCAATCCTGCAAGTCAGCTTGATTATTATCATAATGAATCTTATTTAAGGAAGGATTCCCCTAGCATCCATTTTTAGGCACTACTGAGTAGAGGCTGGAGTACGACTGGCTCTAGCTACAGGCGGAATAGGTTGTTGCCTGGGCCCCCAAATTACCTGCATTGCTAGGAAGTGAAATGATCATCAATTTTCTTGGTAAGGGGGCCTCCCATATACAGCTTTGCCTAGGGCCCCCGAGAGGGCAAAGCCGGTCCTGTGCTCGAGCACTTTACTGACTCAAACCCAAAATAAACATTGCATTTACAGTCAGGTACTCATTTTATAAATTAGTATTGGCGCGACTGCATCTCCCGACAGTGTGCAAGTGTGAACTCAAAAGCGTCTGAGAGATCAATGTGAAAATCAGCCCCCTGGTGCTATTCCTTACACCTGAATGACTTAATATCTGATACTTCTCTACTTGGAAAACCCAACAAGGGCTTCCTCTACCAAGAACCGAAGGTTATGATTCAGCTGGATGTATCCGTTTAAAAGAATTAATTGTCACGGATAAACATGGAAAGGTAAACACTGGCTGGATATGGTGAAGGCCTGCATGGGGTCACCAGGCCTGGAGCTGGTGAGAGGTGTGAGATATGGTGGAGCGTTTCTCCCACTTAAGTCAGAGACCTCACACGAGTTCCCCCACTCTCCTGTCTAAAAGTAGCACAGTAACTCCCTGGGAATAAGGCACAGGGGTGGCTCATGTGTCCGTGTGCCTCACGTGAGCATGAGACTGCCATATCCGCTAAAACACGTCTGACACACCGCTTTTACACATATTCCCATATAACCAACCCTGTGAGTAACTCTCTGCCACATATCCGGTGCTGCTTTTGAAGACAAGCAAAGAGAGAAATGCTCAGCATGAACGAGAGA